AGATCTATACAGGTGGAGCTGGGGAAGGTGGAGGGTTCCTGAAGTGCGCTGCCAACTGCTACAGCAAACAAAAGCCAGGTATTGGAATATTAAGCAGTAAGCTCATTGGCTACCGATACAGGAGAGAACCAATCAGCTGCCATGCGACAATGATGTCGCCAGATCAGATTGAGCTAGACCTATCGGACTGCACCATCTAGAGTTTCATGCCAGAACTCTGTATTTTAACAAGCTAACTAATAAGAACATACACATTTCTTTGATATGTAAAATAATAACATGCATAAACCAGAATAATGACTGTCATGCAAAAGAGTTTACCAGCTTCTATAAAAATAGAAATATATAGTTGGGTTCAGTACGTATTAAGCTAAATCAACAGTATTTGTGGAATAATGTTGAATAGCACACAAAAAATAATAATTTTGTCTTTTGAGTGGCACTTGAATAAAATAGATAAGAAATAAGTTATTAACTTAATAATTCAAGCATAAAAGTTAATTAATTAATAGACATATTCAAAACGGTTTATTTAAATTCATGTTTTAATATATAGTTAAATAAAACAGTATTATAATAAATTAAATCACTTTTAAATTGAAAAATTATTATTCAACAGCTCTCTGCTCACTCTGTGGTGCACTTACCAACACTGTAAGAGTGTAAGGAGCTCAAAGACCTTCCTGGAGTTAATGACCTGCTCCAGACTATATTCATCCCAGAACTGAGAATATCTGAGTGAGAATATGCAGAAAAACAAAGAGAATCGAAGACTGAATATGTCTTCCTGTTATTTTTTTATGCACAGAAATGAATGTTGACATTTCCTTTGTAACAAACTCATTAAAATATACGGATTATTGGTGGAATGCTTGTGGTTCTTCCAAGCTATTTTGGCAAAATGCTCTGGTTTTGTGCCTAGAGAAGACACAAAGCATTTCTTGCAGAAGTCTAAATAGTTGCCCAGATCAGTCTAAACCACTCATATCACACACTCAACGCTTTAATGAGATCTCACCGTACTTCTCCATGTGTTCTCTTCCAGCATTGCCAAACATCTGAGGTGCAGCTGGTGCCGCCGCCATCCCATAACGGTTGATCATCGCCTCCATGTGTTTCTCCATAGGGTTGGTTCTGTCCATGTACTGCAAACCCATGAGATGACATGGGAAACTGGCTGATTTTACTGGTATTATTATAAAAGAGCCGTGAGATGTACTCATACCTTTGACGAGAGTGAACCTCTTTCCATCTTCTCAAAGCCCAAGGCAAGAACACAATCAGCCAAACCTGATTGCAAGAGATTTTGCATAATATACATTTTTTGTATTATATGATTTTTTTTTTATTGTTTTTGAAAGAAGTCTCTTATACATTTTTTTTAGTTAAATCAGTAACATTGTGAAATATTATTGCAATTTTAAATAACTATAACTGTTTTCTATTTAAATATATTTTAAATGTAATTTATTCCTGTGACACCAAATCTGAATTTTTAGCAGTGCTTAATTTTCATTGCTCAATAAGCATTTCTGTTGAAAACAATTGCTTAATGTTTTTTGTGATATACTACCATACAAAAGTCTGAAGCAAATAAGATCTAAAAGAAAAGAAAAGAAAAGAAAAGAGAGGAAAAGAAAAGAAAAGAAAAAAAGAAAAGAAAAAGAAATTAACACTTTTATTTATGATAAAAATTGCAAATTCAGCTTTGCCATCACAGGAATAAATTAATATATTTTATAAATATATTAAAATAGGAAACAGTCCTTTTAAATTGTAATAATATTTTCACAATAGTGATGTTTTTACTGTATTTGTAACAAATAAATGCAGCCTTGGTGAGCATAAGAGACTTATCAAAACAAACACATAAAACATTTTAAAACATTAAAAAAATCATACCAACCCCAAACTTCTAAAAGGTAGTGTGTGTTATTGTTTTAAATTATTAATATTATTTTTATTCAAATTATTACTATTCAGTAAAAGATTGTGTTCAATGCCATAGTTTTGCAAAACATGAAATTTAATTTAGAATAAAAAAAAATGTCTGAAGTCTTAAGGTGATGATACACGGGACAATTTTTTGAGCAATGCTGCCAGTGTCCTGACATTTATCTTACCCGTCAGATTGTCCTACCAGGGTTTACTGCGCATGCACACATCAATATTGCATCCTTTTTCTCATGCTGAACAACAATATTTAATATATCTGCATTACTGTAAGGGTAGGTTTAGGGTTGGGGTAGGTGTAGACCAAACTTCTAAAAGGTAGTGTGTGTTATTGTTTTAAATTATTAATATTATTTTTATTCAAATTATTACTATTCAATAAAAGATTGTGTTCAATGCCATAGTTTTGCAAAACATGAAATTTAATTTAGAATAAAAAAAAATGTCTGAAGTCTTAAGGTGATGATACACGGGACAATTTTTTGAGCAATGTTGCCAGTGTCCTGACATTTTATCTTACCCGTCAGATTGTCCTACCAGGGTTTACTGCGCATGCACACATCAATATTGCATCCTTTTTCTCATGCAGAACAACAATATTTAATATATATGCATTACTGTAAGGGTAGGTTTAGGGTTGGGGTAGGTGTAGACATAATCTAATAGGTAGAAAAAAATTGTTATTGTTGGTTTCCTGTAGCTGTATCCCTTCTAGCTACAACCGCGAATATAACACATAATTACTGTATTTGCATTACTGTAAGGGTAGGTGTAGAAGTTAATAAACCATAATTTTACAGGTAGCATTTTTCGTTGTCGAATCGTACTACCCACTGTTTTATGGGAGGTAGCAAAATCTGACAGTGTAGCACAAATCGACAGAACACCGGGCAATGTTGAATATATTCCAGATAGAAATTTGTTGCCCATTCTCAATGAGAAAGTGCCCAAGCAACATTGCTCAAAAAGTTGCCCCGTGTATCATCACATTTAGTATAGTATAGTCTTCAGTCTTCGGCCTTCTGACCTCCCTGAATGAGCTGACGGGCCATAAACAGCGCAGTGGAGCCGGTAGAGCAGTTATTGTTGACATTGATTATTGGGATCCCTGAAAGACCCAAACTGAAAAACAGGACAAAAGTATCACTGAAATATGACTCCTTGGAGCTGTACTTTAAAAAGATGCCTGAATTTTTAATAGCGCACTCCCTGGAGATTAGGTTTATATTTAATAGGGCATGTATAAAAATATAGTGTATAAAAACATCATATAATATGAAAAACTATTAATTATGAAGAACTATTTAATGATTTCATAAAGGGGTCATATGATGCGATTTCAAGTTTTCCTTTCTCTTTGGAGTGTTACAATCTTTAAAAAGTACAATTGAATTCATACTAAATACAAAAGAAATATAATGCATTACCATAACAATAATTGAGGATGCTTTCATTAAAGCTCTTTTAAAAAAAGTACCACTGAATTCACACTACATAAAATTCATTTACATGGCGCAATTTTACTTCCGGGGCACTAGTAGAGGCCGTAATAATAATCATTTTTATTTTTCAAATGTTAATTTTGTCACCGTGCATAGTCAGGGTCATATTTACCGATTATCCTGATATCTGAAATTGAGATTTATACACCATCTCAAAGCTGAATAAATAAGTTTTCCATTGATGTGTATATAAAACTACAGCAGCTCCTACAGGATTTGCCCTTAACTTCACACCACAGGCTGATCTGTAACGAGCAAGCTAGGCTGCTTTACAGTTAGCAAACCAGGCAATTACAAACCGCATAAATCAAGGCAATCGATGCGTTTACCTTTGTCATTCCCACCCCGATTACAAAAACTCTCGCTGCAGCCATCTTCAGGTTTGCGTTGTGACAGCTCAACTGGCAGTGTTGCCAACTAATTTTCAGAGAAAGTTGCTAAAGGAAGGTCAATTTGTTGCTAAAAGTTGCTAAATGACGTTGTGATGTCATTGCGCAATGACGACGCAAAATTGTCACATCATCAAATCTCAGCAAAAAATATATTTTATATATGTTAATTTAGATTTGTTTGTGTGCCTTTTTATTGTCTGAGTCACTTATCAAAAGTTGCTAAAGGTTGCCAAATCAATTTTTAAAACTGCTAAATTTGTTGCTAGGTGCGTTTGGAAGAAAAAGTTGCTAGGGTAGTCTGAAAAGTTGCTAAATTTAGCAACAAAATTGCTAAGTTGGCAACACTGTCAACTGGACTTCACTGCTGAAACTAAACAACAGCAGCTGATTATAAACACACCAATCACTGGGTGCAGCGCTGCCAATGTCACACAGATGGCACTCTGTCCTCAGCCATGGTCAGTCAAATCACTATTTAGGTCAAGGCTAGCTCCGTTTAGTTAGTAGTAAGTATTCCAATAGTATCCAATAGTATCTTTTTAATATAGTTACTTCAGAAGTGATAAGTAACTATGACTTTATTAGGCCTTCTATTACTATTATTGCATTGCTGGTAACAAATTGCACATTTGGCTTTTTATGTTTAAGGATCTGTTTCAAACAGAGACTATTCACCTCAAACTAGTGGTTCAGATATAGACAATTCACCTCCAACTAGTACTCCGATATGTTCTCATAGTGACTTGTATGGCACCTATTTATTAGACACGTTTTGGTCACACTTTAGTTTGAAGACCAGTTCTCACTATTAACTATTAGCTATGACCATTGCCTCAATTAACTCCTAATTTGTTACTTATTAATAGTCAGTAAGGTAGTTGTTAAGGTTAGGTATGAGGTCAGATTAGGTGTTCTAAAATATGGTCATGCATAAGGCATTAAATAACTAAAATAAGGCATTAATGTGTGCTTTATAAGAACTAATAAACAGCCAATATACTAATCAATATGCATGCTAATAAGCAACTAGTTGATAGTGAGAATTTGTCCCTAACGAGATAAAACTTTTATCAGTAACAATTGGAACAGACATTATCTAATGATTAGTTACTAATTCAAAACTTGTTACTATTGGAATTCTTAAAAGTATATAGTAACACTTTAGTGAACACTATTCACTATTAACTAGTCACTTATTAGCATGCATATTACTAGCATATTGGCTGTTTATTAGCACTTATAAAACACATTAATAATTTATTCTGCACGACCATTTTCTAGATCCCTTAACCCTACCTAATACCTAAACATACTGCAACAACTACCTTACTACCAATAAGCAGCAAAATAGGAGTTTATTGAGGTACAACTTTTAGTTAATATTGAATTTGTTTTCCCTAATCTAAATTGTTACCAAGTACATTATTAAAAAGTAAAACAGATACTAGTAACTTTTAGGGAATACACGTTACAAAACAGATACATTTTATATTATGATGATTTGTGATGTGTGACTTCAGTAAATACCTTGTTGCTTGTTCTAGAGAGACAATCAATGGCTTAGATGCAACAGTGATTATTGGAGATACCATTATAAACATTAATTTCTACTAACACTCTCTATTCTAATTTTATTCTATCTACTTGTTTTCTTTTTAATTATGAAAATAATAATAACTTGACACTACCCTCTAACTGTCACGAATCCAGTCCATGGACCATATTACTAGCATATTGGCTGTTTATTAGCACTTATAAAACACATATTATTAATTTATTCTGCACGACCATTTTCTAGATCCCTTAACCCTACCTAATACCTAAACATACTGCAACAACTACCTTACTACCAATAAGCAGCAAAATAGGAGTTTATTGAGGTACAACTTTTAGTTAATATTGAATTTGTTTTCCCTAATCTAAATTGTTACCAAGTACATTATTAAAAAGTAAAACAGATACTAGTAACTTTTAGGGAATACACGTTACAAAACAGATACATTTTATATTATGATGATTTGTGATGTGTGACTTCAGTAAATACCTTGTTGCTTGTTCTAGAGAGACAATCAATGGCTTAGATGCAACAGTGATTATTGGAGATACCATTATAAACATTAATTTCTACTAACACTCTCTATTCTAATTTTATTCTATCTACTTGTTTTCTTTTTAATTATGAAAATAATAATAACTTGACACTACCCTCTAACTGTCACGAATCCAGTCCATGGACTTTCATCTAATGAACACAAGAGCTCTCTCACCATATTGACACTCACTCCACATAGACTGAAGGGGGTCTGAATACTTTCCGTACCCACTGTATATTCCTCCGCCTCTCTTCTCCTTTTCTGGATCATTTTACTAAAAGACAAACCCACATAAACACAAAAATATCCAATCATTCCATACTTTATTATTGTAGTATCGTATAACCAAACTTACTGTCCATCTCACACATTATAAGCCTTTTACCAATCAGCACTGACTAACAAGAGTGTGGTGCAGTCACTTCATTCTTCATTCAGTAACCAATCAGTTGTTCTTCAATCAGACCTCTTCATTTTTCAGCACTTGATGAATTGATGTGTGACCTCATAGATCCCCACAGACTCACTGGCCTTCTCATCGTAGTCCGTCCAGTCCTGAAACATGTAAAAGAGACTCTTATGAGCTCCTGAATGAACTAGAAGGTGTGATATGATATGAGAATTCCTTTTTTTTCTTACCTTCTCTTGCAGGTTGATTTCAGGGAACTGGGAGGATGTTTCTGCTCCGCTAGCGGCAAAACCGGCCTGAAAAATAACAAAGTGAATGTGTATGTGTTTTATTCAGATTAGGGTAAAGATTCTGAAGATAATTTAACAACTACTTAATTATATACACTACCATTCAAAAGTTCACGGTTAGCAAGATTTTTTAATGTTTTTGAAAGAGGTCTCTTATGCTCACCAATGCTGCATTTATGTGATCAAAACTATAGTAAAATATTGAAATATTTTTTAATAATATTACAATTTAAAACAAATGTTTTCTATTTTAATACATTTTAAAATAGAATTAATTCCTGTGATGCAAAGCTGAATTTTCAGCATCATTACTCCAGTCTTCAGTGTCACATGATCCTTCAGAAATCATTCTATGCTGATTTCAAGAAACATTATTATCATCAATGTTAAAAAAAAAGGTATTTTGGTGGAGACCAACGTATTTTTTTTCAGGATTCTTTGGTCAATAGAAAGTTCAAAACAACGGCATTTAATTGAAAATAAATATTTTTTGTAACAAATCTTTCGTAAATGTTTTCACTGTCACTTTTGAGTAATTTAATGCTTCCTTGCTGAATCAATACTTTTATTTCTTTAAAAAATATATATACACTATACTATACTATTGGAATATCTCACCTGAGGTTGAAAATCGACTGGTTCCAGGCCTCGACACTCAAACTGGAGAATTGTCTTATACCTTTCACTGTCTTCTGCCTTCAGAAGAGAAAATACATGTACCCGCAAGACTGAGCAAATAATATATGCATTATGTAACTAGAAATGTTCATATGCAACTGCATCTTTTACTTAGTACATTGTGGTTTTTAAATTAACAAAAAAAAAAAAAGAATTTATTCTGCCTTACATTGTAAGGTGTAATTGTGTCCCTCAGGATATCTGGAAAGTAAGACATCCAGTTAATAAGCCATCCATATGCACTTACCCACGGCCCAACCAAAAATGTAGAAACACCAATAGAGAAGATGCTATTGTGCAGCTTATCTGGAGATTCGGGCCATGTGTAAGCATTTTATTAGCACATTTACTAGCTAGTAGTTTGGTTACCTATGGAGTTTTCCCGAGAACACAGTTTGCACTTCTGCACCATGCTAGCACTCCCTCGTCCTCCTTTCAGTGGCATGCTGTCCTGAAGAAAGGAAAGGACCAACGATCACTACACAGACGTTTATTTCTATGCACTAAGGCAATTTAGTATGCATGAAATAACACAAATGCAAAAGTGCAGTGTATCAATGAAGGCGAGATTTTGAATGAATAACAACTTAACTATAAATAAAAATAAATTAATAAAATCACTGTTTTGGAACAGCCATGAGGGTGACAGAATTTTAATTTCTTAGTGACATATTTATTAAATGTTTTCTCTGCAATGCAGTGTGGCAGTGCTTATTCTTGTATTTTTAAAATTATTTTAAAAGCAATTTTTCAATTATTTTTTGTACACATTTTGACATAAAATGCATTAAAAACTTGGAGAGAAAAAATTTAAATTGCATTGTATGTCACTTTTTTGAGAAATAATGAAAACACATTTATTGGGGGGAAAAATCACAATGAAAACTGCATGTTTGTTCCCTTTTCAGTGTTTTATTGAAATATTATTTATTTATTTTCTGTTTACTTGCAAAATGTAATAGAAAAATAGCTTTTAAAATAGGGAAGATAAACATATCTTCACTGCTAATATTGTTTGCTCCCTTTTTGTTGCATTTTTTTCGTTTTTAAGCTGATTTGGACAAAAGCATGTAAACATCTTGCAACAATACTAGTATATGATGCAAACCAGTTATTAACTCTATTTCCCACACTTTTCTACCTACCAGTAAGGTGATGTACTGCCATTTATCCGACACCTCACCACAATTGCCACACTTCAGCTGCAAGGACAGGAGTCAGATATTAAATTACATAGCTTTAAATCACATGGCCACTTGAACAGGTTTCACCACAATTATCAGTACATTATTATCAGTAGTATTCATCACATTATGAATGACTCTAAGTCTATAAATTGTTAAAGATCCTGAAAAGTGAGTGCTTTCTCAATTTTCATAAAAACAGTGAACTGCTTAAAGTAGTAGTGTTTTTTTATGTCAGTCCACTGACAGCCTGTGACACGAACACACTTTACCTTTAAATACCAGCGGAAATCATCTCCCACCGGCCTCACGTTCGTAACATTCCCCAAACTGGCTTTAAACTGCAAGCCAAATTTCTATAGACAAAAAGAAATAGTTAGTGGAGCGATTATTCATTGATTTTTCTTTTCCAAGTATCCAATGCTTTTACACACACACATACCCCCATAATGAGCCACGCCTCTGCTGCTGCATGTCATCCAATTGCGTATAAAGAGCGCGACGGCCGCCACGATAGCAGCTCACGCCTAGCGGTCGTGCTGGGTATTACATGCATGAAACGATGTGAAAGAGTGTAACAAAGACACGTATATATAGTTGTGTATAGTTTTATTATTTTATTCCACCACAACGTAATGGATTATTCGTCAACAAAATCAGATGTAAATAAGTTATCCAGTCAAAAATTCGTAGCACAGGCTTATTGAAGTAGTGTGCACAGGGTTACTAAAATAAATATAGGCTTATTCAAGTAATCAGTTTTTTGGTGTTAACAATAATTGTGATTGAGGTTTTTAATGTAATCCCTGATTTTATCTGGGGATTGTAGTACTTTAGTAACTGGGGTAAAATACTATGTATGCACGCTAAGATGATATGGGAAAAATCAAGAACCAGTTCTGATAAAACTGTAAGTATAGTCGACAAAACATGACAAAATGCGTCACATCATATGTACAAAAAACTACAACTGTAAGAACCACATTACAACATTGAGATTCTATTAGAAAGCTACAAAAAAAAAAAAAACCTATATAAAATATTAGTGCACCATGTTGCCATCATTACAAAATCACACATCTCTTCAATCACACACATATAAAAGAGCCTCAAATATGAGGTACTAGGGTTTTTCCTTTTGTGGATGGAACAACCCACCCAACCTGAGCTCGGACTTCAAGTATGTACGCAAATAGCACTGTAACCAAAAATGTCTCTACTTCCAGTCTGACAAAACATTCCATACTATTCATTTATTTTCTGAGTAGCTAAGAAAGCAGATAGACACGCTGACAGGACAGGTTGAATTTGCAATCAAACCTTCCAAAAAACATAGCACTTTCAAAACCCTGTATCAGCAAACAATTATCCACAACATTTCAAATGCAAATAATAGTCACGATAACAAAGGCATTTCAGCTCCTGCATCCCTTCATTGTCATTGGATGAATGGGACGTACACTGTTATTATTCAGTTCCGCCCTCTCCTCGATGGAGGGAAGGGCCACAGTGAGGTCAGTGAGGTCGACTCGACTCAGACGGCTGTCTTTGTCTGGGGCTTTCGTGGACGTCCTGAAAACCGTTCTGCCGTTTGGTGACTCCTACATTCAGGATATCCTGAATATGCTGCACAATCAGATTAATAGCCACTAGAGAGAAAGGGAGATAACATTACATCTCTCCAGTGTGCATGCCATATCAAATAACTAGTGACTACTGACTCACCGAGATTGTCTGCTCCTCGGGGGATGATGACGTCTGCATACTTTTTGGTCTGCAAATATAAATGTCAAAGATCATTTAGGGCACAAGCAGAAGCAGATGGAAGGTGTCAAGTTGGTATATACGTGACACCTTTTCTAACAATAAAGTATAGTTAAAAGCAGCTATAATAATAATAATGTAGAAGTGAAGTTTAGTTCAGAAGGATTTGGAAAGGCTTTTATGAAGATACTCACAGGAAGACAGAACTCCTCAAAGGCTGGCTTCACAAAGGTGATGTACTGGTTCAGAACCTGCTCCAACTCTCTGCCTCTCTCACCGATGTCCCGCAACACTGATAAAAACAAGAAAACATACAAGTGTTGGGCAGTTTAACCAAACCTTCACGTTTTTTTTACCTCAATACAGCTATTATTGCTGGATGTTCAGCACAAAAGTGTTTTATAAAATACATAATGCCTGTTTTTTTTTTTTATAATCAAGCATACCACATACAAATGAAAGATACTTTGTCTCATTGAATTAACACGTAAAATACATAAAAGTTAGATATAATTAACGTTATCATTATTTTCCAGTTTAACACTGTAAAGCTGATTTGACACAATCTGTATTGTATGAAGTGCTATATAAATAAAGCCCCGTTCACACCAAGAACGATAACTATAAAGCTAACGATATTAGCGTCCACACTAGCGAACGATATCGTCGGTTTATTCTAAGCGCACGTGTCTGCCGCTTTAAATTCTTGAGCTCGTTACAGCAGGATGGATTCTGATTGGCTGTCCATTTTTTATCGTTCATCAGCTGGAGAAAAATCTTTTTGAAAGTGATTCCAACGATATAGTTTCTCTGTGCGTTTATCGTTATAGCTGTGGTGTGGACTCTGCTATTCTTTAACATTGAGAACAATTTTTAGAACTATATCGTTATCGGTGTGAACGGGGCTTAAAGGTGACTTGACTTTTATGTGGGTTTTTTTTCCATTTTTATTCGTTTTTTTCTATTGTAATATTTCTTTAATATTTAACTTTCTGTTTTAGTAATTTTAGTACTTAAACTTATTTTAAACATACTTTGAAGTCTTTTTTTTTGTAAGTATAATGTCAGTTACACTAGATTTTGAGCACACAATTTCTTCAGATACTGCACAGATCATAATATGACATGATGCTCTATGTTTTCTTATTTAAAAACATAAAATTCAATATATAATAACAAATAATAACTCCAAAATGTAAAAATATACAATGAAAATTACCTTTCCTGCAACACTACACACATGCAGCTTTAACATTTACATTATTTTAATTCTGCTAAGATCACACATTTTTATATATATATATCTCTTCTATTGGTATTAATAAAAATTCACAGGTCAGTTCAAACTTGAACTTTGGAATGCAGCAAAATGCTAAATTCTTTGCATTAATTTCTATTTAACACAAATGATTATTCCTAGTTTCATGTAATGATAATGACCCTGAAAACCCAGAGGAAATCACTCATTATAATCAAAAAAGACCATAGATCTATTCTACTTACATAGGTAAGAAAAAAAGACAAAAAGCACTACTTAAACCAAAATGTCACACAATTCATCTACCTCTTCGCGAGAGGCGCGTGTCTGGGTCTGTGTCCACAAACAGCTTCATTTGGAACAGATCTCGAATCTCTTGTGAGTAGAACATGAGAATCCCCTCAAAGAGAACCACATCTGCTGGATACACGGTCACAAAGTCATCCTTCCTGTAATAGGTGTGGAGAACATATGATTCAAAAGATAATACATCCAATGGTGATTCACCCATCAGAACACTCAAAACAGCAACTTGTGAAGAGGCAGAGAGAACAGCGCTGACCTGGAATGGGTAACAAAGTCATAAACTGGGATGTGCACAGTCTCCCCCTGAATGATGTCACGCAGAGTCTTCATGACCAGCTCATTGTCGAAAGCATCTGCGAATGATGGAAACATTGATAAACCGATTATTCTTTAAAAGGAATGTCCATAAACGTAGTCCATATGACACGTGTCTTGAGAAACCGTATGATAGTTTGTGTAAGGATTGAACCAAAATTGAAGACTGACAGAAAACACCATTGGTTCTCCCATGCGTAGTAATGGGAGGTCGTTTTTTTTGCATTCCATGAATATAAGTAATAGATGAGCATATTCTAACTTCTGAGTGAACTTCTGACTTCTTTAACAACCCTCAGACATTAGAGTACCTGGGTGATCGAAGTTGAATTGGCCCTTGAGTGCTTTAGCTTTCTGTTCAGGTGTGAGCTCCCTGTAAAAGCTGTCTTGACTGAGGATGACCACTTGCCGCTGGTGACGGTCAATTTTATTCTGGCCCAACAGCTCCATGATCTTCTCACATACCGAAGACTGAGAGGAGAGGACACAAAACCAACTTAGTAAGTGCTTTATTTAGAATAATCACGTTAAAATGCGAGTATTAAATGTGATACATAGGGCTTTTGAGGAATGCTCATTTGTAGATCTCTCAATCATAATTGCGCAGCATTATATGTTTTGTCCCTCAGTTAAAACTACAGAGCTTTGATCACAAAACTAAGCATCAAAATGGCATCTTACTAAGGCATATTAATGGGAGATATAGAGTGAAAACTGATATTTTTATGCATTTTATGTAAGTAGTTATAAAGATCTCCATATTATCATACATCATACTATATGAGCCATAAAAGCCTGATGTATCAAATATGATACTCAACAACAACAAAAAAAACATGCACATTTTTAAAACATTTTGTCTAAAGTTTCAATAAGCTAGATAAAACAATAAGCTTTTCTGACTATTATTTTTATGTCAGGCTTACTGAGTTAAAGGAATAGTTCAAAACCGTCATTTACTTGTCCTCATGTCGTTCCAAACCTGTATGACTTTCTTAGTGTTTGTAGTCCATACAATATGGAAGTCAATGGGCACCAACACAGTTAGATTACAAATATTCTTCATATCAAACATTCTTTATGTTCCGCACAACATGAAAAGGGAGAGGAAATGATGGCATTTTTTGGTGAATATTTTTTAACTTGTACTACAGATAAAGCATCGGCGTCTCTGCAGACGTGCTGTGAACTCTGGTGTGGTAGAACAGCATGCGGGAATCGCTCACGTATCCCATGTAAGGACATTCAGCGGGGAAGCACGGCCTCCATTCATCGGCCAAAGCATTTCAAATCTGGGTCATTTATAAAAGAGGGACGTTTTCCTAAGGGCGACCTATAAACATAAAGCAACCACATTTTGACTGCAAGTTTAATTTTGTTCAATGAGTTTTCACAAGTTAATTCTTTAGCGACGGGTGTGATGTTTCCTGCACATGAAGGTCAGCGGAAGATTAATGAACGCTTTGCTACAATGTAAACATCCTCCGCTATTATGACGTCACGTTCCCGGAACTTTCCTTCGCCTACTTGAGGAAGCAATGCTCCTTTTGTACAAATGAGAAAGTGTTATCACATTTATTTTTTGATTGTAAAATTACCCAAAATTTTTGGAAGGAATTGGCAGAATTTATTTTTAATCTAGTAAAGGATAAATACTGTTTTTCTTTAAAGGATATTATTGTGTACTATGAAATGAATGTTAACAAAGGTCTTGAATACATTGTTAATTTATTCATATTACTGGCAAAATTTTATATACATAAATATTGGGGATGAATTTAAGCATTTTTGTTTAAGGTATTTTTAGTGGAATTTGATTGTTTTATATCTTCTCTGAAATTGTTAAAAAACAAAAAG